GCTGTGCCCAGGGGTCTGGGCTGCACCGCTGGCATGTGCCCCCTCCCGCGGCGAGTTTCCCAGAATGCACCGGGACGGGGGGTCATTCGGGGCCTCCCTGACCTTGGCCCCGCCCTGGGCCCAGTCTGGAAGCTGGAGATGGGAAGTAGTGTGGGTGCTAATGGGGAGCGGGGTGATCGAAGGACCAGAGGGTGTGGAGATAGGTGGCCGTGTGGTGAAAGACTAGAGGTTTGCTAATGGGGACCTGAGCTGTGGAGGGGTCCGATCATGTGATAATAATAAAAGTCTTACCGCTGTGTGAGGTTTTGAGGCCCAGTGTGTGCTAACAGAGGGGCGGTGCAAGGCGATGGAGGGACCCGAGGAGATGTATAACAGGGGAGAGGACTTCAGAGGAGTACTGAGGTATGCAAATGGGGTTATAGCTGTAGAGAGGCCCTGTGTGTGTCACTGGGGGATGAGATGGTAGAGGTACCAGAAGGTGTGCTCATAGGATCTGGGCTCTGAGGCCCTGAGTGTGGTAATGAGGGTTAGGATGGTGTTACTACTGTGCATTTGTCCATGAGGGACTGCAGGGTGTGAGGGTCCAGGGTGTGCTCATGGAGGGCAGGGTAGTGGAAAAACTCCCGTATTGAGAGGGTGCTAATGGGGGCGGTCATAGCCATAGAGGATATGTGCATATGGTAATGAAGGTCTGGGTAGTCTAAGGCCCAGTGTAAGCTAATGGGGGCAGAGTGGTGGAAGACCTGAGCCTCTGCTAATGGGTATCAGAATTGTGGCTATGTGTGTGGGGTGGTGGTTGGTGGCAAGGGAAGTATCTTAGCACTGTAAAAGGGTCAGTGTATTAAGGATCAAGATGGTATGAGATCAGTGTGTATGTGTGTCCATGAGGTCAGGGGATCTGAGAGACTCTAGGATGCCCTAAGAAGGGGCAGGGTAACAGATGAAGTTCTAATGACTGCTAAGGTGGGTTTAGAGTCATGGAGGCGCTTAAATGTGTGCCGGGGTGGGAGGGGGCGAGAATCAGAGCAGTATGAGGTCTGGAATATGCTAATGAGCGTCAGAACATTATGAAGGCTGTGTGTGCCCATGTGTCCGTGGGGGCCTGTGGTGTGTTGAGGTCCCCAGGAATGCTAATGGGGGGTAGAACTGTGGAGGGGATCTAGTGTGCCATAGGGACGCTCAGGGCTGTGAAAGGATCCAAGTGTCAGCCAACAGGGCTTAGAGCTGTGGAGGAGTTGAAGCGAAGAGAAATAAAGGACAGGACTATGGGAAGATCTAGGTGTGCTAAAGTGGATTAGAGCCATGGAGGGCTGGAGTGGGCTAATGGGGTTCCGGGCTGAATGAGGATCTGTGTGTGCTAATGAGGGTCAGGCCATTATAGAACAGTGTGTTTGTGCGTCCCTGGAGAATAGAGCCGAGTCCAGGTTCAGGCTGTGCTAATGGGGTGACACTGTGTGAGGCCCAGTGAGTGCTAATAGGGGTCACGGTGAAGTGAAGGTCCAGCTTGTGCTGATGAGAGGTAGGGGGACAGGGTAGTGGGAGGACCAGAATACATGTTAATGATGATCCTAGCTGTGGAGGGGTCTGAGTGTGGGCAAAACAGGTCAGGAATCGGAATCTGCAGGGTGCACTTTGTGTTAATGGGATTCAGGGCAGTGTGAAGGTCCAGTGAGTGCTAATGTGGGTTAGCTGTAGCGGGTCCCAAGTGCATGTTAATAGGGGTCGGAATCATGTTGGGGGAACAGTGAGTGCTGTGGAGAAGCTAACAAGCACCTGGGCCTGCGAGGGGCCCAAGAGTATGGTGGTAAGAGTTAATTTAGAGGGGCCCAACTGTGTGCTAACAGAGTTCAGTGCTTTGCTGGGGCTTTGTATGCTGATGGAGGTTAGAGATAAATAGGGAAATTGCAGTGCTGATGGCAGTTAAGATGCAAAGAAGCCTTCTTGAGGGTCCAGTGTGTACTGAAGGAAGCAGGACACAGTGAGAGGCCAGTGTGTGCTTATGGGATGGTTCTGGACAGGATGAGGATGGTGTGTCCCTATGGGAGTTAGTAGAGTGTGATGACTGTGTCCACAGTGGTCGGTGTGATGTGAGGTGGTGAGTATACTTGGATGTGAGGGTATTCTGAGGATGGGTGTGTCCTCTGGGTGGGGGGTGTCAAGAAGGACATGTGCCCTTTTTTGAGAGGGGTTGTGTATCCAGTTTTCTTGCTCCCTCCTTCACTATTCTGAAAGTCTAAAAATCTCAGAAAACGGAAATGATATTTACAAGTTTTACTGCATATTGATGTTCAAATGTCTCTGTTCACAGGGTCCCCCTGCTGGGGGTGTTGTATGATACACAGATTTTGTACCCCATCTTCCTAAAATTCCCCCCAAAATGAACTCTGGAACATGCCAAACCCTTGGGGTTTCCACTTAGCGGTCATAGACTCATGATTCCTTCTGGCTCCCTCCTCATCCTCCATCTAGCCCTACTTACAGCCACCCTCCTCCCTGCCTCAGATCCCCCATTCCCTACCCCAGCAGGCAAAGCGACTGGATATCTGCGCCATACGGATACAAGACAGTCTTTGGGGCCTGGCCACACTTCACCTTCCTCAGCTTTATGTTCAGTGTTCAGCCTCCTGGGTCAGGATTTTTTTCATTAATGTTATCCTGGGTTCTTTGGATAGACTTCATCCTCTTTACTGAGGTCTTCCTGCTAGGCTGGCCCCTCTGCCCATCCTGGGGGTGATGAGTTCAGGCAGGCAGAAGCGGGGTTTGGAAGCCACTGGGGTAAGCACCTGATTTCAAGGTGACAGATGACCCACTTCTCTCCTCGAATCCACCCCCAGCCTCATCCTCAACCTCCTATCTAGCTCCACTTCCCTTGGGCCCAGGGCCATCTTAGGCCCTGCTGTGAGTCCAGATGGTTCCTGGGCCAGGTCTTTCCCCCTCCTTGTTGGCCCAGAGCCCAGGAGGAAGCAGAAGAAGGCCGGCCTCAGCTTTTTGGTGGCCCCATTCCCTCCAGCAGTCCCATCTAGGTCATCTTGCCAATGCCAGTGTCCCTGGGCCACCTTGTCTGGGGTTGTCCATGAGTAGCAGGGACTCACCCTCCTCACCCTGACAGAGATTGGTTTCTAGGCCCTCCTTTGCCCCCCCACCCCATTCATTAATTTCTACCATAAGCACTTTTTGAGCATCTACTTTGTGTCAGTCACTGTTCCAGGTCCTCAGGATATAGCCGTGACCTAAACAGACAGAAATCTACCCTGGCGGAGCTGATCTTCTAGTTATGGCGGTGAGGAGACAGACAGTAAAGAATAAAGAAACCAATAAGTAGATGGTGTCATTTCTGAGGAGGTGATAAGTGCTGGGGGGGATAATTGGCAAGGTGAGGGAGCTTAGGATGATTGAGATTTTAAATAGGGTTATTCATGGAGGGTAATCTATGGAAAAGGTTATATTTGAGCAGTGGCCTGAAGTGGGTGAGGGAGGGGACGAGCTATTTTGAAATATGGGGGAAGGGTGTTCTAGGTATCGGGAACAGCCAGTGCAAAGACCCTGTGGTGGAACTTTTGGGGTGGTTGCAAAATACCAACTAGCAATGGTCAAGGGGGAGGTAAGACCAGAGAGGTAATGGGGTGAATGCGGTAAGACCTTGTGGGCCATATTAAAGACTGAGATTTTTATTTGGGATGATAAGGGAGATGTGATATATTCCCAAATAGAGGAGAAATGTGACTGGGCTTGTAAAAATCTGGGTCGGACCCTATGGTCCCAACCTGATTGAACCTTTCCAGCAGCTCTCAGCATAGCTGGTATGCATCAAGATCCCCCCCACGACCCCACCCAGTGGTTGGGTCTAGGCAGCCCCCAACCCCCCCTCACCTGAGTAACCAGTGGGATAGTACACTGGTTACCTTGACGTTGGTTGCTGGGGGAAGCAGGAGAGTTCTTGTGGCCACAGGGAGGGATCTGCCTTGGTAGTTGGGGGTGATGTGGGGCTGGTGCCAGAGGAACATGGCATCCTTTGGACGTGGCCGGGGTCGTGTCAGTGGTCCTGAGGTCCTGGGCAAGCCCCGTGCCCGACAGGTGGCTGGGTCCATCAGTGCCAGTGCAGTCGAGAATACCTGCTGTGAAGCCCTCTGCTCCCACAGTGAGGCTGCTCCCATAGAGGCCAGCACTTCATCAGTTCGGCCCTTTCCCTCAGCCAGCCACCCAAGCCGCAGTACCCAGGTGAGCCACTTAGGAGCAGGGTCCCCAGGGGCTGGCTGTCATAGGTGGCAGGCACTGACAAAGGTCCTCATCCATGGCAGGTTTCCAGGAATCCTGAGTGGTTCCAGCGCTCCATGGTGGTTGGGCAGATACTGACACATGTTCATGGCTGTGCGCCTCACTGGGCTGTCATAGGTTTTAGGGGGCCCGTGGTGGTCAGGCAAATGCTAATGTGGGACCCATTCCCATCCATCTCCCCTGCTCAGGTCGCCATGGATCGGATGAAGAAGATCAAACGGCAGCTGTCAATGACACTCCGAGGGGGCCGAGGTGTAGACAAGACCAATGGTGCCCCTGAACAGATAGGCCTGGATGAGAGTGGCGGCGGCGGCAGTGATCTTGGAGAGGCCCCCACACGTGCTGCCCCTGGGGAACCTCGCTCTGGGCGGGGCCCACTCAGCTCTGCACCAGGTGGGTCCACTGACTGTTCCCGCTCCCAGACTGGTCCCTAGGTGTGCTGCCTTCCAGCTGAGTTTTTCTTAGACTTGCGTTATTTTCATTTTCCTTTCTCCGTTTTCTCCCCTATCTCTGCCGTCCTCTCCGAACACCTTCTCTCTGTTGTCCATCTGTGCCCCTTTCCTTGGCATTGTGCCCAGGCCTCTGGGAGGAAGGGTGCCCCACCTGCCGCAGCTGCCCCAAGCCTCCCTCTGCCCTTCTCCTGCGCTCTGTGACAGGCCCCTCAGGCCTCCTGGCGCCTGCCTGCCCTGGGCCTGCCTTCCCAGGGCATTTGGCTACCTCTGCCGCTGCCTGCTCACTGGCCTTGGGCCAGCTGCAGTCTCAGCTCGCCGCTGAAACGGGGTGCTCCACTAGGTGACTATTGCCGCCCCCCCTCAACAATTCAACCTGTCTTGACCCGTGTGAACCTCCCTGGGCCTTCCCACCCTCTCCCTGAGGGATTCCAGGCTGCTCTGGGGGCCGTGTGCACACGTGTGTGATGAGGGGAATGTGTTACGTGGGGGTGGGGGGGGTTGTCCTGGGCTCCTGAACCCACCTGGCCTGCCGTCCCCCTGTCCCCACTACCAGAGATTGTACACGAGGACTTGAAGATGGGGTCTGACGGGGAAAGTGACCAGGCTTCAGCCACGTCCTCGGATGAGGTGCAGTCACCAGTGAGGGTGCGCATGCGCAACCACCCCCCTCGCAAGATCTCCACTGAGGTGCTTAACCCCCTGTCCCAGCAGTGGCGGGGCTGGAAAAGAGGGTCAGGCCTGGGGAGTTGGAGCTTATGGTCCTGTTTGTCCCCCATCTTAACCTGCTAGGATATCAACAAGCGCCTGTCATTACCAGCCGACATCCGGCTGCCCGAGGGCTACCTTGAGAAGTTGACCCTCAATAGCCCCATCTTCGACAAGCCCCTCAGCCGCCGCCTCCGCCGGGTCAGCCTGGTGAGCATCTTCTGTTCCTGTCCCCTCCCCCGCCCCCAAATCCTTTCCGCTAAGCGTGCTTCAATCTGCCTCCTTTACCCCACAGTCTGAGATCGGCTTTGGGAAACTGGAGACCTACATCAAGCTGGACAAGCTGGGAGAGGTGAGAGACAGCCAGGGAGCCCATGGTAGAGATGGGGGTCACTGGAAACTCTCTGCAGCCCCATAGTTGCTCTCCTGTCACTCTTCCTCATGTCCCAGGGTACCTATGCCACCGTCTACAAAGGCAAAAGCAAGCTCACAGACAACCTTGTGGCGCTCAAGGAGATCAGACTGGAACATGAAGAGGGGGCGCCCTGCACCGCCATCCGGGAAGGTACAGCCTCACCCCATCTGCCCCAGGCTTCTGCCCTGCTGTTGCTCTGGGCTTCATGAGAAAGTGCCCATTACCCACATATCCAGATAATAAATCAGGGTAACCAGGAACCTTCCTGTGTGGAGAAGAGGTAGATGAATCGGAAAGCAGGGTGTTTGCTTTGGTTCTGAGAATGCCCCTGAGAATGCTCAGCACTTTACTTGACACAATAGTTTCTAGTCAGAATATCACATGGAATGAATCTGAATTGCATAGAAATTCACTGTGCAAACTCATTTTCACACGAAGCTGCAGGCCTATGTACTGAGGGTTGGAGCAAAGCCCCTTTGCAGAAACCAAAAACTGGTTGTGAAAGTCTAGTATCACATAAGCCTGAGGCAGTAATCCAGGTTCTTGCTCTATACGCTTCTCTGAGCCTTAGTTTCCACATCTGGAACTTGGGTACACACCTTCTTCCTGATCTCAGGTGTGTTAGGGCTGGTGGCTGTGAGCCACCACCCCAAACTGCATGGGGAAAGAAGGAAACCCGGGCTCATCCCTATCTGATCCTCTTCCTCACCTCTATCCTGAGGGTGGGCCTTGACTCTTTCTCGTCCCACCCCCATGCTTCGTGCAGTGTCCCTGCTCAAGGACCTCAAACATGCCAACATCGTCACGCTACACGACATTATCCACACAGAGAAGTCGCTCACCCTTGTCTTTGAGTACCTGGTAAGGTTGGGTGGTTTGGGTCCTGGGGGGTAGGTGGGGAGATGGCCAGGAGCCACAGGATGTGACCCCCTTTCCTCTACCTGCTTTTCTTTCAGGACAAGGACCTGAAGCAGTACCTGGATGACTGTGGGAACGTCATCAACATGCACAATGTGAAAGTGGGTGTGGGGCAAGAAGCAGGGGCACAAGGGGGCCCCCTGCTCACCCATTGCACCCCACAAATCTCCCAGAAACAGACTTTTCCCGTTTGGCTTTTTTGCTGGGAGCCCCTGGAGGGCATTGGGACCCTGTCCTCTTTTGTGAGACAAGGCTCTGGGCTCAGTGCCGGTGTTTGGGAGGGGGAACAGTGCCTGTTGGGGGTCAGGCTGCTGAATACTCTTTGACCTCTGCCTGCCGTTCCTGGGTCCCCAGCTGTTCCTGTTCCAGCTGCTCCGTGGCCTGGCCTACTGCCACCGGCAGAAGGTGCTACACCGAGACCTCAAGCCCCAGAACCTGCTCATCAATGAGAGAGGAGAGCTCAAGCTGGCCGACTTCGGTACTCCTGGCTTTCCCCTTCCCCATGACCACCTAGCCTCCGTCCCCTTCAGCCTCTCCAGGCTTGGCTTAGGACGCCCTCAGTCCCAAATGCATTCTCCCCGAGACTGTCCAGGACTCCTCAATTTCAGCTGCCCCTTCTCTCCACCTACCAGGCCTGGCCCGGGCCAAGTCAATTCCAACGAAGACCTACTCCAATGAGGTGGTAACGCTATGGTACCGGCCCCCCGACATCCTGCTCGGGTCCACGGACTACTCCACTCAGATTGACATGTGGTGAGGACAGGTGGAAGTGTGGCAGAGGCCATGTGGTGAAGAGGGGTGGCTTGGTCACAGTGGCCAACCAGCCAACCATCTCCCTCTCCACTGTGCCCTCCCTGCCCAGGGGTGTGGGCTGCATCTTCTATGAGATGGCCACAGGCCGGCCCCTCTTCCCGGGCTCCACGGTGGAGGAACAGCTGCACTTCATCTTCCGCATCTTGGGTGAGGAGGCACGAGCCCTAGGAGCTGTGGGGACCTCGTGCAGGGAGGCCCCGTGAGATGCTTAGGGTAACTGCTTCCCTGCCAGGAACCCCAACTGAGGAGACGTGGCCAGGCATCCTGTCCAATGAAGAGTTCAAGACATACAACTACCCCAAGTACCGAGCCGAGGCCCTTTTGAGCCATGCACCCCGGTGAGGCTGGTGGGTGGGTGGGTGTGAGGGGCCAGAGTACCCAAACTCAATTTAAAACAGGTCCCCTTGTCCTTGCGGTAGACTTGACAGCGACGGGGCTGACCTCCTCACCAAGCTGCTGCAGGTGAGACCACCTTCCTGGGCCAGCCTTGGGGAGCCAGTGGATTCTAGGTGTGGGGAGACAGGGAGCTACAGGGGCAGGGTCTGGGGCGGGGAGGAAGAGATGCCCACTCGTTGAAAGTGTCAATACTCCCCCACCCCGACACACGCTCAGTTTGAAGGTCGCAATCGGATCTCCGCAGACGACGCCATGAAACATCCATTCTTCCTCAGTCTGGGGGAGCGGATCCACAAACTTCCTGACAGTGAGTAGAACTGGGGAATGGGCCAGCCAGTGGGGGGCCCTTGGGAACAGGACTGCCGCAGACAGCTGGGCAGGTCGTCTCGGGGTGGGCGGTGCGGGTGTGCCCTTGTTCACGTGTGTGATGTGTTGGTGATTACAAAAAAAAGTTTCTTAGCTTTCAATTCCTCTCACCTTTCATGGAAATTTTCAAACATACTTTAAAAACCGGTGCAACATCACTTTACCTTTTTAAAAAAGTAAACATGGTAAAATAGATTCTGAGAAATGCACAGATCGTAAGTATACAGCGCAATGAATTTTCACAAACTAAACACCCATGTAACCGGATACAGGCCAAGAAATGGGACATGAAAAGCTCCCCCAAAGTGCCCTCCTGCCTCCTTCAGTTACTCCTGGCATCCCCTCCAAGGGTTACCACTAGTTTGACTTCTAACATCATAGATAAGTTTACCCCGTCTTTGTACCCTCCAGAATTGGAGTCACATGCGGTGTTTTTTGTATCTGACTTTTAAAAATGTTTTAATATGGACATTTTAAAATTAGATATATTTAAACATTAGACCATATAATATGCTAAGTCCCCAAGTACTCCAACAAGTCAACTCATGGCCAATCTGGTTTTATCTATATTACCTCTGTTTATTTTGAATCAAGCCCCAGATACATCATTCATCTATAAATAATTTCAGTATGTATCTCTAAAATATTTTTAAAACGTAACAATAATACCATTATCACGCTAAAGAATACTGGTCCATTGGATTAGTCTCAGTCAAATCCCAAATACCATCCATCATCTAGACTTAACATGGGGTAATTGCAATGCCACTATCATCCTTGACAAAATGAATGATTTCTTGGTGTCGTGTAATAGTCCATATTCCATTTCCCCTGCTTGAAGCTGGTTTGTGTGGGGGATTATTTGATGGGTAAAAGTCAGGGCTCTCAAAGAAAAGGCATTTTTTTCTCATTTCCCCGATGGGGTCACATGGGAGGTGGTCCTGGATGACCTGATGGGTCATGCCCCGCTTCTCTCTCTCCTCCCCCACCCACAGCTACTTCCATATTTGCACTAAAGGAGATCCAGCTACAAAAGGAGGCCAGCCTTCGGTCTTCGTCAATGCCTGACTCGGGTGGGTATAGGTATGGTCCTTGCCCTCTCCCCTGTCCTGTTCACCTACCTGCTTGCCCACCAACAGCCATCCGCTCTGCTTTCGCCCGCAGGCAGGCCAGCTTTCCGAGTGGTGGACACCGAGTTCTAAGCCACAGACTGAGGCCCCAGCAGGCAGCAGCTGGAGGGATGCCACACCCCTCACAGGGCAGCCCCCAACTGCATCCTCCCTGCTTGCTGCCTGCCTACCTGCCTGACTCATGCTCGCCTGCCCACATGTTCCCTGCTGCCTGTCCAAATACCCACCCATTGGCCTGTCTGCTGGGTGCTAACAAAGCTCTCATCGCTCCCTCGCCTGGTCTGTCTGTCTGTCTGTCTCTCTATCTCTGTGTCTCTGTCTCGGTAGTTGCCGGCGGACAGCATGGCCGTGCCAGCCTCCCACGCTGAGGCCAGGCCTATACCCCTCCCCATCATACCCTCCCCCAGGACCACTACACCACGGCCAGCCAGGGGTCCGGAGCTAGCCCAGGCTGGGGATCTCAGACTCAGACGAGACATGGTGATGCCATGGGTCTGAGGCTCCCCTGCCTGTTTTCCTGCCCTGTCCCACCTGCCTCATGTTGTGTGGGCCTTTTTTTTGTTTGTTTCATTCATTGTTGTTTTTTTTAATTAATTTTAAATGAGGTTTTCATTTTTTAAATGCAATATCTCTGTATACAGACTGGCTGGGCCCCACCCACTTCGTGTGGCCCTCCCACAGTATTTTGTGCAATGAAGCCCCGCTCCCAGCCTTTCTATGGCAGGGACACAGCCCCTATTCAGAACCCTGACCATCACCAGACCCTGGGGTCAGCTAAGGGAAAGCATGCCTTGACCACTCGCCTTCTGACCCCCACCTGCCATCCCCAGCTGCAGGGGGACTTGGGGACTACTGGAGACTCTCTGGGAGATGGATGAGGTGGGGGGCCCCCACTCTTTCCCTCCTGGAGTCCCATAGCTGGGGCCTCCTTCTCAGGGTCTCCCTAGCCCAGCCCTCCTGCCCCCATCCCACTCGGTGCTGCTGAGTAGGGGCCCTGCCAGGAACTGACCGACACAGCAAGGAGCCATAGTGTGTGTATGCGCACAAGCAGGGACAGAGGGGCACATGGGGGGTTGTGCCCAGGCGTTACCCCCTAACCCCCGGGGAAGGTGAGGCAGGGCAGGGACAGTTTCTGGGGTTAGTCCTCAGATGGGTGGTTACCTCCCCTTCTTCCACTCTAAACCCTGGGGCCCTCAAATGGGGTGGGAGGGCAGGGGCAGGGCCCTCCTAGGGGGGTTTGGGGGTTGGGTTCCTGAATGCACCATAATCGCTGTATGAAATATTAAAAAGTCTAAAGTGAAAAACCTGATTGCAAATCCCTGTGGGGGTGGGAGTAGGCTCAACCTAGAGTGAGTCCTGTGACCTTGGAGAATTCATACCTGGTCCCCATCTAGGAGAGCACTGGGAGTGGGCCAGGGACACGTCAGGACTATGAAAAAGACATCTGAGTGGTTACACACACAACCATGGAACATCAAGTTGAAGCGGCTAGGGCAGACTGTGCAGAGGACGGGCTAAGAATCTAGCAGGGAGAGGAGTCAGGTTTACCCAAGAATATCAGGAAGCCAGACAGGGTAGAGACTGGTGAGTGCAGACAGGCTGTTCGTTTGAAGGACACTTGGAAGGCCCAATGAAACCAGTATGACCATGACTTACCTACCTGGGACCTTGAGGCAGGCCAGTTGGAGAGGGAATATGAGAGGAGGGTAGATTTTGAACCACTGAGTAGATAGGGGAATCCTTTAGTTCATGGATCAAATTCAGGAATGAGGTCCTTTCCTGATGGAAGTGGAAGTTTGGATTATTGGTGTCTAGGAAGTAATGGAAATAGTGGGCATGTGTGAGGTGACCCTGGGGAGGATGCAATGGTTTGTGAGAGGCCAGAGGTCAAAAGACAGCCTGGGACTTGGCCTCAAGTCGAGAATTTGATTTCCTTTGTCCTGGGAGTTCTAGCCCCAGTCCACCATCTTGGGTAAAGCCTAGGATAGACTTACGGGCAGAAGTGAGGCGGGCAGGGCCAGGCAAATGCTACAGGTAATAGGAAACCTAAGTGGCTGGTTACTGAAGTCCAGTGGCGGCAGTGGCCCATAGGCCTGTGCTGTGTTCCTCTCAGCACTTTGGTGATAGCTTACAGCTTCATGGTTCCATGGTGGCTGCCACGTCCCCAAAGATGGGAAAGCAAGCGGGAAAAACATCCTCCCTACCTGACTCTTGCCTTGTAACAGGCTGAAACTTCCATAAGCTCCTCAGCAAACTTCTTGTGCCATCCTTTGGCTAGAAGCAGATGATATGGCCGCCTCTGGCAGGAAGGGAGGCAGGGGAAATGAAGACCTTGTGAAAGGGGACAAGATTGCCAGGCCAGACTCAGAAGGACTCGAATTCACCCAGCTGCTCTGGGAAGTGGTAGGGTCATTGGTGTGGGCAGAGGCTGGCCTCTGGAAGGTGGAGAAACTGAGTCTAGGCCTAAGGAGGAGGACGTCTTGTTGGATTGTAGGAAGGACAGACCACCAACTAAGTGGGGAGGAGAGTCTGCAGAGGGGCAATGAGAGAGAGTCAATCCAGAGAATGTGACACGCTTCAATTGGGCTTGTAGAGCAGCTGTCTGCCATGTGCCAGACCCAACTTGAATGTTACTTTGGGGATCCCCAGGTGAGAGGGCTGCTCCTGTCCTCCCTCAGAGTGTACAGGTGGTGGTGAGATTTGAAATTGTTCAGGGAAAGGGTATTCTCGACACCCCAGGCCCAGGGACCTGTGTATGCATGGGCCTAGAGGTGTGACAAGGCAAGGTGTTTTTGCCTGTGGGAATAGGTGGTGATAGAGAAGTCACTGGAACAGACCTAGAATCATGAGCCTCTCTTGGGGAGTCAGGTGGGGAAAGCCAATAGGCAGGTGGATGCTGGGAGCCAAAAAGGGAAATATTAGTTATCACCAACACGTAGGGGCTGGGAGCCCTAGCAAAGAAATGGATAGCATAGCCTACTGCACTGGTTGTCAGCGGGAGATGCTCTTCCCCACCCCCAGAGGGCATTTGACAGTGTCTGGAGACACTTTTGGTTGTCCCAACTGGGGGATGCTGCTGGTATCTAGTGGGTAGAGCCTGGGGATAAAGCTAAACATCCTGCAGTGCTTCCTACAGCAGAGAAATGTCAATAGTGCCTAGGTTGAAAAATCCTGGCCTAGTGGACTAGTTCTCAAACTTTGGCCTCAGAACATCCCAAGAGCTTCTGCTTATGTCATGCAGCCTCTGGAACTTCCACCATATGTGCAAGAGAGAATGACCACGAAAAACTACTGTGAATAGTTATGAATTTGTGAACCCCCTGAAAGGGTCTCATGAACTGGTAGCCTAGGACCACAGTTTGAGACTCTCTAGCCTAGTGTTTTAAGGTCACAAGCCCTGGAACTGGAATTCCTACGTTCGAACCATAACTCCACCACTTAACTAGATGGAGCAAAGTGAATTAAAGTTTCTGGTCCTCAGCTAGCCCCATTGTTGCCCATAGGCAATCTGCTGCCCAAGGCTACGATTTACATGCAATAAACCAACAGAGCTAACTATTATTATCATTGCTGTAACTCCAACAAATCCACAGGGCCTGGGGCTGACTTGCCTTCAACACACTGGGCTGGCCGGGAGAATAAATCCAGTTCAGGCAGGGGAAGGGCCCGCAGGCCTGGGTGGCGCTCATAAAGTGGTGACCTCTTTTGCATTAGGTTTTGATGGAGGACAAGGGTAGTGGAATGAAGGAAGGGTATTCTGGTCAGGCTAACAAAAATGCCGCTACCAGGATGGGGGCCCGCGGTTCCCAGCAGAGGATGGGACCTAGAAGACCTGGAACCTCTGTGTGCCCCCCGAGCACTCCCCAATACGTCCTCGTCCACCTCGGGGAACTCTACCTCCACCTGCCACACAACCGTTTGCCCTAACAACATGGCGTTAGAATCCCACCAAGCACCTTTGTCCTTCTTAGTTCTCAACTGGAGGTTTCACCCCGCCTATTGGTCGCAGAGATCACCGCCCACGGTCCAATGCCCGCCTAGCCCTTCGGTGCGTCCCAGCGTGGGGTCCCCTTTCAAGACTGCAGGAGCCCCCCGGCTATTTGGGGGGCTCTGCTTCCGTTTCCGGGACCAGAATCCGGAAGCTGCTGTTGAGGGGCCTCTTCCTATAGCCAGCTGCGGTGACTGTGAGAGGAGAGCAAATGGCTATGGCGGCGGTCGCGGCGGGTCTGGCGGGGGCGGCTGCGGCCGAGGACCGAGAGCCACAGCACGAAACGGTGCCGGGCCTGGAGAGCCAGCGGCTCCAAATCGAGAACGGCGAGAATGGGCGAGGGCGTGCACTGCGGGCGGGCGAAAGCTGGTGAGGCACAGCGGCAAGCAGAGCCTTAGCTCGGGGGACGGTGGGGAACGTGGCGGCCGAGGTCCGCAGCAGAGCTGTCGCGGGGGCGGGGGGAGTGGCCTGTGGGACGGAGGGTGAGAGGGGCGGGGAAAGTGCCTCGGCTGGGAAAGGGGCGGGGCCTGGGTGGTGGAGCCTAAAGCCTGAGAACTGGATGCGGTTTGCTGTGCAGCGGCGCGGGGCGGGCCGGGGCGGTGCAGGAGGAGAAACTGCCGCGGCGGCCGGGCCGGGCCGGGGCGGGCCTGCAATGGTTCAGTTTGGAACCTGGGAACGAGGCAGTCCCGGCCACACAGCTGGGGAGCGTGGTGTGCGCGGCGTACCGTGGCATCTTGCTCCGCCGCGCCTGAGAACTTGGCAGCGAGGCGGGTGACGTCAGGCAGAGGAGAGGAATCTGAGCCGAAGGGCCGGGGGCCGAGGGGAGGGAGTCAGAGCCTGCGTGGTGGAGGGAGCTGGGCCTGGGAACGAGGCTTGTGACGTAGGCCGAGGGGCGTGTCGTGAGGCCGAGGAAAGACCGCAGCGGGGAGGTGGTGCCTGTGAAGCAGAAAATGGCGCCTGCGAATGAGCAAAGTTTGTGACGCGGCGAGGTTTTTGCCTCTGGCCGGGGCCTTCTTCCCAGGACGGGAGAAAGTGCAGGTGATTGGCACGGGCGGGGCCTTCAATGTTACATTTGCTTTCTGTTTTAGGACTGTCGTGTTTTTGTAATCGGGAAAAAAATAGCTAATTTTGAAAATGTCAATGCGTATCTTGATAAATCGGCTCTTGTTTAACTGATTTCTTTGCTAACCAGTGCTTGAAATGTACTGTTCCTGGGTTCATTTTATTTCTCGCCGAGTTGCAGCTCGTTTTTTAAATTGTGAAATACGTAAGACCTGAAAAGATTACATGAAACGTTTGCATAGCACAGGTTGATGGACATTCTATAAAAAATAAACGGCCTGTGCGCTTCAAAAATTTCAAGGTCGTGAAAGACAAAGGATGAAGAACTGTTCCAGATTGAAGAAATTAATGGGATTTAACGAGTCTTGGTAACAAATGCAACGTGTGATCCTGGATTGGATCCCGGAGCAGAAAAAATAAATCATTTAAAAATCAGTTTTTTCTCAGAAAGTTAATTTTCTCACTTTCACTGTAAAAGATATGAATGGGAAAATTGGTAAAAATTTTACCAAGGTCTGTAGATTAGATTTTGGTACTGCTAATTTCTTGATTTTGATAATTGTATTTTGCTTATGAAAGAGAATATCTTGGTTTTTAGGAAATACACGCCGAAATACTTAGGGGTAAAGAACCATCGTGTAAGCAGCTTACTCTTAAATGGTTGAAATAATAGCATATAAAAGGATACATCTAAGGAAACAATTACAGAGCAAAGGGATAAAATGTTACATTTGGAGAATCCGAATGAAGAGCATACAATTCTTTGTTACTATTTTTTGCAATTTTTCTGAGTCTATTTCATGGTAAGAAAAAAATTTAAAGAATAATAAAAAAAATTGTGAGTTCACCACCTAGGTTAAGATTCAGACAATTACCTTAAGAAATCCTTCTGTGCCCCTCCCCGCTGCAAATCCCCCTCCCTGTGCCACGGGAAACTGTTATCCTGAATATTTAAATTTCGCTACCGCTTTTTCCACCATTGTGTGCATCCCTAAGTAGTATTTGTGGTCTAAGCTTTCATTTTATGGAGGATACGCAAGAAATTATACTGGATGATGCATACCGTGTGCCTTCGCATCTCATCAGGTGGGTACTCGGTATCCACATGACGTCATTGGTGACGTTTGTCTTGATCACTTGGTGAAGGTGGTATCTGCTTGATTTCTCCCCTGTAAAGGTACTGTTTTCCTCTTTCTGTACGCAGTAATTCTCAAAAAAAAATTTATGTCCATCCATTCCTCAAAAAC